AAAATTAACATTGGCCTACCGCTTGTACTAATAAAGTGCCAAGGGCCTAAGTGGTCACCTTAATATTAAAAAAAATATATATATATATATATATATATAAAATAGTAAAATATTAAAATCTAATTAAATAGAATCTAATATTAATAAATTTAGAATTATTATTAAAATTTTTTTATTTAAAAATGCGAAGATATAAATTATTCTATCATTATACATTTTATTTACACAATTGTTTAGATATTCTATTTAAAATACAAAGCTACAAATTATTCTATCATTATATATATTAGTTATATACAATTAATTATATATACATTATACTTTTATTTCAATATACTTATACCAACATATTTATATTAATTATATAAATTAATTTTGTATATATATGCATGTCATACTTTTATTTTCTACTAACGTATTTATATATTAATGATTCATATACAAAGTTTAAATCAGTAAATTAATCATATGTATATATAACAATAATAATAAAGCATTATACCTATCTTTTTTTTACTTTAATCAAGAATTTCTCATGAAAACTAATAATAATTCAAGTGTGTCAAGCGATTCTACATCAAGCCAAGAAATATCTAATATCGAAGCTCATATCAATAATAAAAAGTTTACATTAGTAGTTTGGAATAATTTTACTTTGATAAAATTCGCTGATTCTAGTCCAAATAAGGCAAAATACAATCATTGTGAAAAAAGATTTTCTTATAAACGTTCTTCAGGCACTTCACACTTATATCGGCATTTAAAAACTTGTAAAAAATATAAAATAACTACTGCCGGATCAAGCTCTTTGGATGATTATCATAATAAAGACAATCAAATGCAATATATATCAAACCAAGCTAAAAGTTGGGTTTATTCTGAAGAAAGAAGTTGAACTGATTTAGTCAATATGATTATTAGAAATAAATTAAGTTTCCAATTTGTTAAACATACTGGATTTTTAAAGTTTATTTCAGGATTATGACCTGATTTTAAAGTTTGCAGTGCTGATACTATTAAAAGGGATAGTTTAAAATTTTATCAAGATCAAAAGGATTTTGTTAAAAATATTCTTCTTCAACAACAGATATTTGGACCTCACAACAATAGCTTAGTTATATTTCAGTTACAGTATATTTTATAAATGATAATTGGGAGCTTGTAAGCTTTCTAATGTCATTTAAATCAATACGTTTTTCACATACTGGAATAAATATTGCCAATTCAATTAAAGATAGTATAGATGAGTTTTTAATTACAACAAAGGTATATATTTTTTATTTATTATTTATTATTATTTAATTTAAAACTAAAATTTATATTTTTTAAAGTTACAAACTATAACACTTGATAACGCTTCTTCAAACAATGTTGCTATTCAAAAACTCAAGAAATATCTTATATTTTTTTTAGTTGATTTCAATGTTGAACCTTTTCAAAACTATTGTTTAGCACATATTATAAATCTCATTGTTCAAAATGGTATTAAAAAAATTTCAAACATTGTTAAAAAGGTAAATATTAAATACTGTATATAATTATAATTATTTAATATTATTATTTAATAAAATTATATTTTAATAATAATTAATATAGGTCTGTGATTGTATTAAAGCAATTCATACTTCACCAAAGTGTCATCAAGCTTTTATTGATGCCTGTAATTATAAAGTTATCGATACAATTATACCTCCACTTGACTGTATTACACGATGGAATTCTACTTTCCATATATTGAATTCTGCAATTAAAGTTAAATTAGCATTAATTAAACTTAAAGATAGAGATCGAAATTTTCCAGATTTACCATCTGAAGATGAATGGGAACAAGCAAGTTTAGTTCGAGATGGACTTAAAATTTTCTATGAATGTAAGTATAATTTAATTTTATTTTAATTATATGTTTTTTTTTATTTTAATAATTAATTTATTTTATTAAAAATACTGAACAAATATCTGGAAGTTCATATATTACTCTTAACAATGCAATTGTAATTATTTTTAAAATTAAATTACATTTGCAACAAATGAAATCTAAAATCTAGCACATTTATTTGTGAATTTGCTAATTCAATGACTAAAAAATTTAACAAGTACTGGAAAGAAACAAACATGCTATATATAACTGCATATATACTTGACCTATACCATAAATTGAAGTAGTTCAGATATTATTATGACCAAAAAAAAAAATTATTTCAAGAAGCTACTGAAAAAATCATAATAGATTTTTAATCAAAGTAAGTTTTTATTTAATATAATACTATATAAATTATAATTATACTATAATAAATATTAATTATTTTTATTTTTTTATAGATTCGAAGAAATTTATATTAAATTTTATTATCAGCATTTATATATTAATACTTCTATTGAAAGTAATGAAGGCAATTTAACCAATTCTGATTATCAATTTGATGAAGACTATTATCAATATGCGTCTAAAAGATTATATCAAAATGCAAATAATCTTTATGAAGTTTATCAATATTTGTATAAACCAACAATTTCAAAAAATGTAAAGCCACTTGATTGGTAAAAATCAAATTATCATTGATTTCCAAACTTATTTAAGATAGCTAAAGATTTTTTAGCTATCCCAGCAACAAGTGTGCCATCAGAGCAAATTTTTAGTTTAGCTGATAGAATTATTGATGATAACCGTATTAATTTAGATCCAGATACTGTTGAAGTATTAATTTGTTAAAGAAATTAGTTGACAAAGAAATTAATTGTCTAAGTAGCATGTAATTTTGTTATGTTAAAGTAGCTTGTAGATACTATATATATTTTTTTGGTTTCAACGGTAACCACTTTATTATGCTGAATAGTTAAGTATATTACATGATAGTATAGCAGCCTAGTCTATATACATTTCTATATATATTCCAGGTCCCTCCCCCCTGGTGTTGCAGTTCCCAGATCACTGCACCCTTCATTCTTGCGTAAAGTATCACATGGCTGCTCAGAGATGCCTATGTGTAACCGTCTAGCCACTGATTTACCTCCCCTTCAGCCTCTAACTTACTAGGAGGTTCTTCTTCAGATCAATGAAAGGCTGTACTCACCTTTTTGCTGCAGCACTTGTTCCACTCATGTGCCTTGACCTATGCACTTGGGGTCAGGGCTAACTATTGAACCCCTTGTATTACCTACTTCTTGCTCTTATTAAGATTTACAACAATCCCGATACTCGCATTTTGTACTGTCTTCTTACCCGGATTCTTTATCGGTCCCTCTCTTACTTCTAGTCGGCAACCTGGAAGGGTTGGTCTGCCCAGGCTTTAGGTGTCTAAAGGATGCCCTCCCCTTGGTACATACTTTTGAAGCATATGCCTTTTTTCTCCAGTGCAACAGAACTCAGTGGTTTGGCTAGTGTGTCCTCCGCCATTAGGACCTGGTTGTTCAGTTCTCCGATCTCAGGCCCCGGTTCAAATTTAGCCCTTATGTAGTACCATCGTAGATTATCGCTATTTCTTAGCTTGGGACTTCCCAAATAAGTTTTCGGTTATTCCGGTTCCTTGGCTTTATTGCACCATTGCTCTCATTACTAGATGGTATGACCGAAGTTACAGATTTATTTAAGATCCAACTAATAATCATAACTGTTAACCATAACGCAAGCCTATTTTTCAAAATTTGTCATCTATGGGATTTAAACTCCAGACCTGCCACTTGGAGAGAGTGACAACTAGACCACTACACTAAGTCGCCACATCTCCTTTTAGACTACTATATATGCAATACAAATAAAATATTAATTGCTTAAAAATAATTTGCAATTATAATTACTAGCAATAATAATTTTAGTTACAAAGATTTTTTTGTAAAAGCTAAATTATAATTTATATTTTAATAGTTCAATTTCATCTATACTACAATTTCAGAATGGATAAATTCAAAATTTTTTTTTCAACAAAAGATTTGAAACTTAGAATAATAATGTAACTTAAACAAGCTATTATGCTTTATTTACTGAAACAAATATATGGATCTATGGGCCGAATTTGGATAGTATTATGTGATTATGGGCCGGGTTTGAATTTATCCAATTAAATATGAGCTAGATTTGGATATAAATATTTGGTACATTTTTTTAATGGGCTGGATCTAGATATCAAAATACCCGGCCCAGCCCGGCCCATGCGGAACCCTACTTATTACAAGAGACTTAGCTAAAACATTAAAAATTTTAATAATGCAATTATTACATAGTTATAATATAATTTATATATTATTATTTGTATTGTTACTTTGCATTGTACAATGCATTATAAAAGCATAGTTTTATATTGCTACAATGCTGTAACAATATATATATTATATTTATATTATTATTAAAAAACTATTATAATAATATTAAAAAAATAATAAATATATAATTTAATTTATAATAATTATACAATTTATATATTTATTTTTCACTTTTACTATACTATATATATATAAATTAATAATAAAATTACTAAAAAAAAAAATTACTAAATTTAATACCAACAGCAAAAGAAAATTATTTATTTAATAATACCAACAATGAAAAAAACCCTCCGAATTTGATAACACCAACAACAAAAAAAAACCACCTTATTCAACAACACCAATTATGAAAGAAAAACTATCAAATTCGACAACACCAACAATAAAAAAAAAATCTCTGAATTCGACAAAACAAACCAACGACGAAAGAAGAATCTCCGAATTTGATAACACTAATGACGAAAAAAGAACCTTCAAATTTGATAACACTATTAACAAAAGAAGAACCACTTTATTCAACAAAACCAATTACAAAAGGACAACAAACCTCCAAATTCGACAACATCAACGACGAAAATTCAACAACACCAACGAAAGAAAAACCTCTGAATTCAATGACACCAATAACGAAAGAAGAATCTCCAAATTTGATGACACTATTAACAAAAGAAGAACCACCTTATTCAACAAAACCAACTATAAAAAAAGAACAATGAACCTCCAAATTTGACGACACCAACAACAAAAATTTAACAACACCAATGAAAGAAAAACCTCCGAATTTGACGACACCGACGATGAAAGAAGAACCTCTGAATTTGACAACACTATTAACAAAAGAAGAACCACCTTATTTAATGAAACCAACTACAAAAGAAGAACAAAAAAAGAAGAACCTCTGAATTCGACAACAACAATGACGAAAGAAAACCCACTGATTTGACGACACCAACAATAAAAGAAGAACCTCCAAATTCAATGATACCAATGACGAAAGAAAACCCACTATTTTGATAACACCAATGATGAAAGAAAACCCACCATTTCAACAACACCAATGACAAAAAAAACCCACTGATTCGACGACACCAACAACAAAAGAAACCCCACTAATTCAATGATACCAACGAAGAAAAACCCACCAATTCAATGAAACCAAGCACTAGCACCGACACCAATGACAATAGTTCCGAAATTACATCTATGAGATAAAAAAGAAAACTAATTTTAATACGAAGAATAAACAAAAAACAAAAAAAGCAGAACATAAGAAAAAAAGAATGAAAAGAGAAGGAAAGTAGAGCGAAAAAAAAAAGGTCGAAAAAAAAAGAGCAAAAAAAAAAGTGAATGAAAAAAAAGAGAAAGGGCGAAAAAAATTAACGAAAGAAAAAAAGGGTGAAGGAAAAAAAGAGTGAAAGAAAAAAAGAAAGAAGGGAAAGTAGGGAGAAAAAAAGAGCAAAAAGAAAAAAAAGGACAAAAGAAAAAAAGAGAGAAAGGAAAAAAGATCAAAAAAATAAAAGTGTAAAAAAAAGGTAAAAGCGAAAAAAAAGAGATAAAAAAAAAAGAAATCAAATTTAATATGCTTATATATGATCTCCAAGCACAAAATGATTGGTTAATCATTTTAAGATTGGAGATCAGTTATTTATTCAAAAAAAAAAGAAATCGATGATTTCTGATTTCTGATTGCTGATTTTTTTAACATTACTTCTGATGACGTATGTATATCAACTAATATTATATCATATAAAGTCTTATATATATTTATTTAGCATATATTTTTTTAAAAAAATTAATTTCTAATAACTAAAATTATTATCTTGGAACATGTTTTGGATGCACAAATGCCTTTTTTATCAATTTTTAAAATTTATTGTAATGAAAATATAAGTTATACTAAAGTTTCTTAGCAATATTATATAATAATCCTTATAAGATTGAATTTAGTGCAGCTTATTATGCAATAGTAAATTTTACCGGGCTAGAAAAGAAGCAAATTTTAATATTACACAATCAAGTTCTTTGCAATATGAAAAGTATGTAAAATATATTCCTATAAAAGATGTTAAATCAAAAAATATGTTACAAAATTATGAATCTACAACTTTTATTTCTGTAAAAAAATGTTAAAAAAATTGGCAATCAGAATTAGAAATCATCAATTATTTTTTTTTTTTTTAATCTATAAATTTCACATTTTTTTACAAACCACAATAAATGAGCATCATCACGATTACTAATTAATTACATCGAAGATGATGCTTGAGAAAATTTCAATTACATCATGAATCACATATTCAAATTCTCAATAAAAATTTTATGTAAATATAATTTTGCTTGAGTGCCATTGCGATCACTTGCTAATCACATCAGAATAACGCTTGAGAGCACTTTTAAAGCCAATATTTCCCAGTAACTATTATAACAAAATTTGATAATTTTTTTTTATTTTGATTCTACAAACATGTAGAATTGAAATAAAAAAAATTCATTGAATTTGTTAGATATTTGTTGAGAAAGCTTCGCTTAAAGTTTAAAAAAAAAGTTAAAAACCTGAATGTAGTAAAAATTTTTTTTTTCAACTTTAAGCAAAGATTTCTCGATGATTAACAAACCAAATTTGATATGTTTTTTTTTTATTTTAATTCTACATGTTTGTAGAATCAAAATAAAAAAAAAGTTATCGAATTTTGTTATATAGTCATTAAGAAATATTTAGAAAAAAAATTTGTCGCAGCTTCTTTTTATAGGCACTAAAACTTTAAGCAAAATTTTCTTGATAAATATCACCAAATTCTGCAAATTTTTTTTATTTTAATTATATAGAATTACAGAATTTGGTTGGATTTTTATCGAGAAATGTCAATTAAAGTTGTACCTATAAAAAAGAAGCTGCAGCAATTTTTTTAAATATTTTTCAGTGATTATATAACCAAATTCAATAATTTTTTTATTTTTATTTCAATTCTACAAACATGTAGAATTAAAAAAAAATTTCATCGAATTTGATTATATTTTCATCAAGAAATTTTGGTTTAAAGTTAAAAAGGAATTATTATTATTCTTTTTCTTGGACTCAATTTTTTTTAAGCTTTAAGCTAAAATTTCTCAATGAAGACGTAGTTAAATTTGATAAATTTTTATTTATTTTAATTCTATATATTTGTAGAATCTAAATAAAAAAATATTATCAAACTTGGTTATGTAATTACTAAAAAGTATTTATTTAATTTTTTAAAAAAAAATTTTCTGCAGCATTTTTTTTATAGATACTAAAATTTTAAGCGAAGAATTTCTATCCAAATTTTATGAAATTTTTTTATTTTAATTTTGTAATTCTATAACATTCAAATAAAAAACTTTCATCGAATTTGGTTAAATACTAGTATTCATTAAGAAAACTTTGCTTAAAGTTTGATACCAATAAATAAAAAATTAACCATAGCTACCGCAACAAATTTGGACTAGCAGACTCTCGATTTTGATTGGCTAATAGCCAAGAATTCTCAAAATTTTGGCCCATATTACAAAATTGTTTATTAAATTCCGGCTGGAATTAACTTTTTAATTTTTTCATTACAAAAATAGAAATTCTTAAAAAATAAGTTTGCATTATAGTAAAATTAAGAGTTGTATAACTTATAGAAAATTATCTTAACTTATATAAGTTAGATTTTAATTTACATAACTTACTTAACTAATATATCTGATATATTACACTAATTTAATTCTGATCTAATTTTTGATTGTCAATTAAAATCAAGAATCTGCCAGTTCAAATTGTTGTGACAGCTATGGTTAATAATAAAAAAGAACTTGTAGCAAAATTTTTTTAAACAATATAAATATTTCTCAAAACTATATAACCAATTTGATAATTTTTTATTTAAATTTTGGTTAGATAATTATTGAGAAATTTTCACTTTAAGTTAAAAAAAAGAAATTTATTATAGCTTTGTTTTTTACCTTTTTTTCAAGCTTTAAATGAAGTTTTTTTAACAACTATCTACTAAATTCAATAGATTTTTTCTATATATTTTAATTCTATTAAATTCTAGAATTAAAAATAAAAAAAATTGTTTAATTAGTTATGTATTCATTGAGAGATATTGGCTTAAAGTTTTCTAAATTTTAAAAAAATTTTTATTCCTTGACCCAGAATTTTGGAAATTTTTCTGTAAAAAATAAATTTTTTGTAGCATGAATTAGTTTATTTTAGAACTTAGCAGTCTAGTTTTTTATATAGAACTAATATAGTTAGTATTAAATTAATATAATAAACATATATATAATAGTTTAATTTTTTGTGATTTTGTTAGGTTTTTTTTTTTTTTTATTAATATAATGTCATAGTAGAAACTTTATTACAATAAACCTATATTAATCTAGAGATTAAT